GGAAGCAGAAACACCTGCCCCCTTGACAGGCATCATGATCAAGAGCAGAGCATCCAAAATAATATATTCTCCCCAAAAAAGAAGTCCAGGTTCTTCTTATCTCTTCTGAAATCCCCAAAGTGAAAAGATTTTGAGAAAATTTTTTGTTTAACATGAATGTGCGTTAAAAGTCCTAAACACCTTCTGTCCAGCTTCTGGAAACATCATATTGCAGCAAAAAGACAAGACAGGTCTGCTGCTTTCTTGCAAAAGATATTTTGGAATAACAAGGGTATTTGAAATATTGCAGGCAGTGCAAAGACTCAATTTTAATTCACAGAATCACAAAATTTAAGGGGTTAGAATGGATCTTAATAACCATCCAGTCCTAAAACCCTGCCATGAGCAGGGACAGCTCTCACCTGGCTCTTGAGCCCCCTCACACCTGGTCTTGAGCACCTCCAGAGTTCCAGCTAGTACAAATTATTTTATTATTTGAAAACTGAAAAATGGATCTGTACCTCCAAATTATGCTTAGCATTTAATTAAAGTTAGGGACTATCAGAGAAAGAAAACCCCAAAAAGCAAAACAAAAACCCTAACCCCCCAAAAAGACAAACACACCCAAAAAACAAACAAAACCAAATGAGAACAAAAAGAAAAGAGTAGCAAAATAAAGATCAAATGCTTTACTGAAGGGTAGCTGGTGTGAACACTTCACCTCTCAAAGAACGTGGTCTGAGAACTAAAGACATTTGCAAAGTAATTGCTTTTAAAATTGTCCATGGGATTCCACAGACAATGAGCAGCCTTTGAGGAGTTAAACTGCTGAACAAGTCTCATAATGCAACAAAAATGCCCAATGCTGTCTTACCAGAGAAAAATATGGCAGAATCTATTTTATTTGCAGAAGTGAAAATTTCCAAGCAGCTGAAACTGAGTGAGCAGACAGCAGAAGGCACAGCTGAGACAACACAAAACAGAGTCATCCAGGACTGTTTAGGATTTTGTGACTCAATGCTGGTAGCAGGAAATGGAGAACAAAGCAAGTCCATCATACACATAATTCTCTCATTTGTGGGAGATTACTATGTTCCATCAGTCAAACAGGAATTACTGCTGGCTGAGTTGGAGACTCATAGTTGGTAATGCATTAGATGAACCTTGGCAAGTAAAACTGCTGGACTTTCAAAGGGGAAAAGTCTTTAATTTCTAAAAAATTCTCCTCTGTTCTGCTTCCTTTTATTTTCCTTCTGGCTAAAAAGGATGGGAATGTCATTACCTCACAGAACATGGTTTGTATCAGGTGTTCTGTATATATGACATTTTTCTGTAAAAAATACCCACAAACTTCATTTACAGAAAGCATAAAAACATCCTTCTGAAGAGATACAAAAGCATACAATGCTCTTGGTCAAATAATTACCAGTTCTCTACCCACTGTCACAGAGCTCTCTGGTGAGGAATATTGGGAGAAGTGTATGCAAGGGTCAATATCTCTGTTAACAGCCTGGTAACAAAACATCTTGGTCTTCAGCCACTTCTTCAATTATTTTTAATCCTTGTATTCTAAACTAAATTTCCCCCTTACTCTGACACATGGCATCACAAGACTCTACAAGCAAAGAGGCAAGTTCCAGAGAGACACCATAACATGGTTACTCAAAAATCAGTAATTCTAAATTGGCAAGTTTTATTCAACCTATACTGTTTGCTATCCTAGATTTCAATGCCTAAATTTACTGTTCTAAATGTTGTCAAATCACTAATATCCTCTTGCAAGTCATCTTAATTTCCAACATGGTAATTTTCCCTGTAATGACTCTTCATTTAAGACTACATGTTTACAATTTTCTACCATTTAGGTGATTTAAGTATATCATCTACTGCATGTCCTGGTCTTGGCAGCAGTGAATAATTTTCTTGACAGATGGAATATGAAAAAAATACTAAATAAAACATTTTCCCAAAACATAAATAGCTGGCAGTTATCCCTCAGAAATAAAAGTCCTTCTTAACCTAAAAGCAACCAGCAAGTCATGTTCTCTGTAAAAACAAGGTCAAGAATTTAGATATGCCCTTAACTCATGCCCTGTGGCAGTGGAGAAGGCAGGCTATGAGGACAACATACCAGCCATTTAGATGTCTCCATCCATTATTAGCCATTTATTATTAGCCATTTCTCTTTTTTTCTCCCCACTTTCAGCAGCAGCATAATCCAGGTGCTCACAAAACTTCCCCTTAGTCCTTCCTGAAATTCACCTTCCCAACATCAAATCTAATCAGATATGGCATGCACACCATGTATGGGCTCTGCTCACAAAAGCAAAGAGAACAACGTTAAGGGATCACTGCTTGCTGTAGGAAATAGAAATTCAGCTGCAGGGACACAAAGAAAGGGATGGTTACATTGGTACTGATAAAATCACTTGCTGTTCAATGGATTTGGTTACAGCAATCAAGGTAAATGCAACCAAATTCACAGCAACATTTATTCATGTGTCTATGTTATGATGGTTATAAGTAGATGTATAGGGAGGTGAAACATTTCAGACTGATACTTAAAGGGATCTCACCTCAGAAAAATGAATCCCACAGTAAGAATATGTGACTGCAAGTACAAGGTAAATTAATGCAGCAACAACAGTAGATTTTCAGAATAAATAGTGATAAGGGGTTTTAGATATGTGAGAAATACAACTCCCTAAGCAGGCATTTTTAAGATGTGGAAATTACTAATAAGAATTAAATATATCAGTTATGTGGACATTTGAAATAACAATAAATCTGAGTTGAATTTAGATTAAATAGATAAAGCTACTTAAAGCTATAAAATGAAAACCTTCATATTAGAACGAGATCATTGATTGCCACTTGATCCAGGGAAGGCAAAAAGCAGAATATGGGCAGTGACATAACCCTGGTGTATTTCCACTGGTGCATTTTCCCCATGCAGCCCAGGGGGTTTTAGCCACAAAGACTTTGAGCCCTAGTGGGCTGAGTATGAGGAGCAGGAATCAATTCTACATTTCACAAGGCATGTCTGGGGTTCATTAAGAATCAGACCTGTAAGAAGCAGCTCTCTTACCATGTCCTCTGTTAAGTCCCTGCTATGTTCCACAGTCCCCAGCCCAGAACAACCAGAACCAGCAGTGCCCTTCACCTCTGTGCTGCCCAAGGACAGAGCTGCCACAGCACTGAGGCAGCTGCAGTCCCCAGCCTTGGGTGACACTCACCCTGCCCCTCGGTACAGTTCACAGCCAGCATTCACCCTGTGCCAGCTCACAGGGCAAACAGCACTCGGGAAATGCACCACGTAGAGCCTTAAAAGAGATTTAAGAACTGATAATCTCAAATGTGAGACTGCTAGGTATGCCAGAAAATTATTTCCTAAAGTCAATTTTTTTGTACCTAGGAAAAAAAGCTGTCTAAATACCTTTAACTCTGGGCCATGCACAAGTCCTACAATAGAAAAAAAAGTCCACTTTAGAATTATCCTAAAACCATTTTGGATAACATGTTGGGATTGCAAGTATTAAGGAAAATAACTCTGGAAATAAAGGCTCAAAGCATTAATAATGATTCCCCTAATCACATTAAACAGCTTTAAGTGAAAAACAGATACCATTTCACTTTACTGCATCTCATAAGAGATGTTAAAACTGATTTCCTACTTATGCTGAATGAAAAGGAGGAAAGGTTTCACCCAAAACAATCAAGCAGTATCAACACTGGTGCAGCTCAAAAAAAAAGAAACAAACAACACCCTCAAAACCTTAAACAAAGTATATTTCATGAAAGGTTTTTAGGGTTTTAAGAAACAAACGAGCATCAAAAGAAACTCCCAGAAAACAAAACTTCTTTTTACTTGATTCTTCTGTGGACAATTTTTTGTGAGCTCTACTTACTGTTTACCAACCTTTTAAAAAAACAGAAATGATTACAGATGCTTAAGCACTCAGAATAAAAAATGGGACAAATAGAAAAAAAAGTTAGCATTATTGAAGACATTAAATCTGATATTTATTCCTAATTTATTCTAGAAGAAAATAATAAAGATTATGATTTCAGAATCTTAAATTGAAAACAAACCATTGTTATGCTGGCTCTCACTCCATTAATATAAATGTAGCTGGTTTATATTTCACTTTAAACTAAGCTGCATTTCAAGGAACCAAGTCTCTGTTGGTTCATTGAACAATCAACTCCAGACTTGCTCACAGCCACAGTGCCAGAGCCTGAACTGCTCCCACAGAAAACTGGACACAGCCAACTTTGGTAAACACAATCCCCAGCTCTGCAGCATTTCCTGTTGTTAACCCAGGCAATGCTTTCCTGCTGTTTTGGTACCTACCCACACAGCACTGGCAGTCACCTTTTTCAGTTGTATTGTTAAATCCATTTCTCAGCAATAATTTATCCTGCTGACATCACTAAACAGACAATTTCCCAAGTTTTCAGAGCTTCTCAAGAGTGAAGCCCTTTTGTTGATTTTCCCAGTCATCCCTCTCCATACAGTCACACAGAACAACAGGCTGTAAAACATTTCAAGCCATACCACATCTCAGTGAAAACCAGAAAGCTGATACATCTGGGTAGCATTCAAGCCAATCTAATATTCAATCAAAAATATTTTTAAAGCATATCAGTTAAACTATCAGTTCAGCTGTCATATACATTATCTGTTTTCTCCTCTAATCCTCACTTTGTATTTCATATTTCAATTTCTTTGAAGAAGCAGTTCTAAACTAGGCTTTCAATCCAGAATGAGTATTTCAAATAATATTTACAGTCTTATTTGTTCTTAATACAAGTCTCTGAACTGTACTAAAATAAAATCCTTAGATTTACAATACAAGCTTAGAATGCTTTTTTTTTCTGGAATATCATCAGTTATATAGAATACAGAAATAAAAAGCATTAAAAAACAAACAAAAAAGAACAAGGAAAGGTTTTTATTTTTAGTTTTTAATCATGGTTTTAAATGAAGAGGCAGAAGAATTAGAAACGTTCATACTGACCTGAGCCCATAAAGGACGGTTCCATCTGGATGCAGACGAATCATTCTGTTCTTCACAGTAACACCATGAACAAATGACTTCTTGTCATTCAGGAAATAGGTATCAGGCACCCAGAGCTGATCAGCTACTCTGTTGTCCAGGGTAAGGTTTAGAGGTATTACATTATAGGACAGCCTCTTGTCCCTCCACGCTTGCTGGAAGTACATTGTCAAGGTATAGTCCTGGGAGCAGAAAAAACAAACAGAAAACGTGTGCATTGAAACACACATATGCAAAAAAATGTCAATGCAAATACATATGTATGCATTGTTACTGTTCCTAAAGGCAAACATTTCTGTTCAGAATTTCCATGAGTAGATTTATTTACTCTTACGGTACTGAGCAACTTGTATGTGCTTAATAACAGCAGTGAGAACACAAAGAAGATGGGGCACTTAAATTTAATGAATGACTTGAAAGTTATTACTTCAATATTTAAAAATAAAATTTAAAAAATTGTAGACATTTAACAGCCTGTAGCACTTTACAAGCCTGGGAGTTCTAGGAAATAGGAACATTCAAAGATCCAAATTTAACTTCAGGGTCTCCACTGTATTCAATAGAGCTCTGGATCAAGTCTTCTGTCTCTTGCAGTCACCACCCAAAGACTTCCCTAAATTAAAATTTCTTCAAAGTCTGTTAACTTTTCCCTGGGCACTGAAACCAATGGGAATTTTTGAAGGTTCCTAAGCTAAATACTTTGTCTTAATTTTACAGATTAAGTAACTCTGGTTACTTCAGGGGGACAATTCAGAGAGCACAATTAGCATCTCAGTAATTATTCACAGTATTAGGAGACTTGTACTGTCTTGATGCAGACCACCACTGTACAGTGCTTCAGAGATGTTTTGACCTCTTGATTTTTAAAGAATAATGCATTTACAAAGGTTATACCTTGGTCAAAATTGTTATCCAGATGCAGAATAATCATTATATTTAGCCAGTGCTAAAAAAACCTCTACAAATAGTACAAAAAATATATTGAGAGCAACCCTGTGGAGAAAGACTCACATAAATGGCAATATCAGTTCTTATTCCCTGCTTTATATTGTAAAGGAGAGTCCACTATTTAAAGCATTTTTATTACAGTTGGAAAAGAAAAATTTATCTTCCTGCTGAACTACTTCAAAAGCATATGCCACAAGTGTATTTTACAAGCATTCTCATTTAGAAGGATATTTGACATGTGAACACTATATAGAATGTCTCAGATAATACAAAAATAAATTTTTCTTATTCTGCAGTTTCCCAGACTGAACACCTCAGTAGGAAATCACTGAAATTGGGTTTCTGTAGTTATTCTCTTTACAATGTACAATACCCACCCTTGAACTAGGGAGGGTCTGTGAGAACTGTGGCTATTTCAGCAGAATTCTGTAAGCAATGACACAGAACCCTGGAACTAAGTGACCCTGCCTCTTCTGCAGAACAGTGTGCACTCAGAACAATCAGTATAAACTATTTTTTACATAAATGTGCATTTCAGTGGAGGAAAGACTTATTGTTTTTTTCTCATCCCTCTCCAGAAGAGGCCATGTACATGGGCTTGAAAATGTCTCTTCAATTTTCAGTGAAACAGGGGGAAATACATGTTCTGTTGTGAAGAGTTGCTGCATTTCCTCCTTCCCAACACAAAGCACAGATGGTATCACTGCTGTCCCTCCAGTCTGCACTGGTGCCAGGCCAATCCCCTTCCCTTGCAGCACCCCTGGCCATGCCTGCAACCCCAGCACCTTTAGCCAGGTGCCACAACAGCCACTCTGCAGGGACCAAAGCAGGCAAACACCAAATAAGCCTTTCCAGTTATATATAAATACCAAATATATTCACCTGGTGCTGTTCTACAATCTGATCAGTTTTAATGATCTGAAATCTCCTCCCACCTCCCCAGGGTCAGGATGAAATTCTGCTTGCAAGTGTTCCACCTACATCTAAAAGAATTTTACTGTTATGCTTCATCACTGTTCTGCAGGATTTGATTCATAACCAGCAATCAGAAAATCTCCATTGGAAAATTTATTAGTCTTCATTATACTAATATATTACATCATCAAGTAATGATCTGCAGCAATTGATTCTCTATTATCCTTGGAAAGCTGCATTTTATTCCTATTCCAAGGAATAACCTACATGTATTAATATATTGCATAAATGCATAGAACATGCTTTCCTTTTTACATCTCAGTAAAAGAGGAAAAGAAGAGGAGGAAAAACCCTAAACATACATGGTTCATTGCATAGAAGTGAATTACATAAAACTGTAAATTTGGAGCACTGGCATAGCTGAAAGAAAAGCCAAGTCACCAGGCTGGAGTTTAAAATCAAACACACTGTGTTCCAGAAAGAGCTGGTGTTCTGACTAAAAATTATTTGTCATCTGTTGGCCCTAGTTTTCAGACGTGACTGGAGTTTCTGATGGTCAAAACAGAACTCCTTTGAAATTATTATAAAACTCTCACAAGCTTTTGAATTTAGGTTTTTATTTTTAATGATAATTTTAAAAAACCCCAAAGATGTTCCAAGCTACATATTTCAAAGTGAAATTGATAAGATAGAAAAAAGCAAAACCTGTAACGTAAACTGTGATCTATTCCTTAGAAAGGAGAGAGGCATCTGTTTTCAAAATCCCAAATGAAAAAGTAATTCAAAAAAGGTGTGCTGGTACAAAATGTCCCTAAAGTATCCCGAGACCCTTTACATGTTGGCATTAAGAACACTCTCATCTAGACCAGAAAAAAGTCTGTTAAACTCACATGAAATATGGGCATTCCCCTCTATTCTAGGGATAAATATCAAAACAAATATGTAAATATTTGTCTCACATGTAAATATCTTGTCTCTAGGAAGAGAGGCACACAAAAGAAGTAGAGGAATAGAAGGAAAGGATGACTTTATTTTGTAAGGTTTAGCATCCTTTTAAATTCAAAAGATGAGACTGTCAGAACCAGTATAAGTTAGAGGAAACAGGAGCAAATTCATTTTCACAGCCTTGCACAAGGAACTAATTCTAATGAGCTGAGAGGACTGCAAGCCCAAAGCTCCTGATGATGGGGTCAGTGTAAAGCAGGGCACAGACACAAACTACAAAGGCACTGAGTGTTTGCAGCACAGCCACACAGACACTTCTCCCATAGAAACAAAGAGGTTCCTCAGCTGCCCTGGACATGAAAAACTGTATAAAACTCTACTAGTGTTGACCAAGTTGCAAGAAAAACCTAGACTATAAAGAAGCAAACATATTTTCTGTAAATATTATCAATTTTGTAAGTTTCATTATTTTTAATGATTTCATTATTATTCCATCGTTTGCCTCGATTTAAATTTAATAAAGTTTTTTTGTTCTGTCCAGAGCAAAAATTGAGGCATCAGAAAATGGATCATTACCCCTATTCTATTGTGATCAAAGAAATTTCCTTTTTTCCTCACCTCACCCTTTCCACTTTCCCTCTTCTTTATTTCATACAATGAACAAAAGAACAGCAAATATAAGACAAAGTTAATGTTTATGCATATTTTTCTATATGAATACAAAAGTATCAAACAGTTTCATTAGTATTAGCATATTCATGAGTAACTTTTATTCTGCACATCAACTCTGTGCAGTGGTTGCCTGCAAACATTTTAGCTGCTGGAAGTGTAAATACACTGAGGATTTAAACTTGCATTTAGATAAATAGAAGAATAAATAGAATAAATAGAAGTATTACAGCCAGACATGGTGTCAGAGAATGGCCATCAACTTCAATTATGTAACAGAAGATACTGGACAGGAAAGCATCAAATCTGAATACTGGCATTCTTATTTATGTTCTGACATTTCATTCATGCTCTCAAATATATGTTTAAGGAAAAAAAAAAACCAAGAGAAAAATCAGTTTGGGCCTATTATTAGTTTAAAAAGAGTAGAACACAGGCCTTGGCTAAACCTACCCATGGGCCAATAACTGACATATTGCTGATCCTCTTTTTATTTTGGAAAAAGGATCAAGGCAAAAAAGGGAATAGAGGTCATGAATATTCACAATGACAGTGGGTGTCTAATGCAAAAGACTCTACCAGATGTAAATTTTTTCAAAGCATAATAATAAGGTCCAATGTGAGAAAACACATTTAAAATATAGCTCCTTCTTCTGCATTACACAAATCAGGACTGATTCACACTGCAGCTTAAAACTGTAACCAACACTTGTATTAACAGGGCTAGAAAACAGCTACTGAAACACTGGAAGCAAAAAAGGCAGGAAACTTCAGAGGAGAAAAAAATAAGCAGAAGAAATATACAATATCTAATGTATATAATAAACATTCTGTATATTGTAAACCTAGTATAAGACAGTGAAGTTGAAGAAACTATTAATCACAGCTCTGCAGTAATGAATGGAAAACTCCTTTGTGGTTTGGCTTAAGTCCACTCCTCATCACATTCCTGGATATTACTAACTTGTAAAAATGCTTTACTACATTTCCACATATGGCTGTTTTAAAACAAAATAATTCCCTTCTGAAGATGCTTGAAGCTGAAGATTTTGCACAAGCACTATATTTATTTAATATGTACATTTCAAAAACTGTTGATAACATTTAAAACTGCTGATTGACAATCCTTTCAATCCTCTCTTTATTTAAAACCAACCACTACACAATGTTTGATTCAAAATTATCTCTCAGTCTCTCATTGAGAAAAAAATAATATAAAAAGTCTGCTTAATGCTGGAGACACCACAAAATACACAAAGTGACATATAAAAGTAGAAAGAATGGTTGAAGGAATGGATGATACCAAAGAAATGCCAAAATAGTCATATGCCCTTTCAAAAAAAGTATTTTTCACATTCTGTAAATCTTCAAAATAAAAAAAAAATTCTGCAAAACATATAAAAAAGCCACAAACAATGACATCAGGAATGTTACACAGAACTCAAGTTGAATTCCCTCTATCAAATCTGACTTGCCAAACTGGCTTAAAATCTGTGAAACATTTGTAATTAACTGAGTCTCCTAAAACTTACTAGGGAAATTTTCCTTGATGGGAATTACATCTTCACAAGTTTATGATCTTTCCAAAAAGTAGATCCCGACACCAAGCTTACCATTTATTTTGCTGCAACTCTCCTGGAATTATTCATCAGCAATTCTCATTTGTCAACTGAGCAAAGCAGCCGAGATGGGCTGTTTATCTTCC